AACTAGCACTTCCATAGCTAGAGAGAAGTCCGTGCCTGCCTTCAAAGATTCAGAGGATGGGCTGAGTCTCTTGTTAGGGGCTAATAATGCAGATGGTGATTTCAACGTGAAGCCAGTGCTCCATTACTATCCATAAAATCCTAGGACCCTTAGGAATTATGCTAAATCTATGCTTTCTGTGCTTTGTAAATGGAACAACAAAGCCTGGACAACAGCATATCTGTTTACCACATAGTTTACTGAATATTTTAAGCCCCCTGTTAAGACCTGCTCTGAAAAAAGGATTCCTTTCAAAATGTTACTGCTCATTGATAGTACAGTATATTCCAGTCACCCAAGAGCTCTGATGGAGATGTATGAGATGACTGTTTTCATGCCTGCCAACGCAACAAGCATTCTGCAGCCCGTGCATCAGGGAGTCATTTCGACTTTCAAGACGTATTATTTAAGAAATACATTTCATAAGGCGATTGCTGCTACAGTGATTCCCCTGGTGGATCTGGGCAAAGTAAATTAAAAACCTTCTGGAAAGGATTCACCATTTTAGAAGAACATTCATGATTCATGACAAGAGGTCAAAATATCAGCATGAGTAGGACTTTGAAAGCCAACCCTCATGGATGACTTTGAAGGGGTTCAAGACTTCAGGGGAGGAAGTAACTGCCAATGGGGTGGAAAGAGCAAGCTAACTAGAGTGGAGCCTGAAGGTGGGATTGCATGGTTGCCATCTCAGGATAAATCTTGAGCGAATGAGGAGTTGCTTCTTATGTTTGAGCAAGGTGTTGTCTTGAGATGGAATCTACTCCTGGTGAAGATGTCATGAAGACTGTTGAAAGGACACAGCAAAGGATTTGTAATATCATATAAACTTAGTTGATAAAGTAGCAGCAGGGTCTGAGAGGATTGACTCCAGTTTTGAAAGAAGTTCTGCTGCAGGTAAAATGCTACAAAGAAATTGTTTATGAAAAGAATCAATCCATGTGACAAACCTCATTTCTGTCTTATAAGAAATTGCCACAACCTTAGCCTTCACACCCACCACCCTCATCCATTAGCAGCCATCGACATCAAGGCAAGACCCTCCCCCAGCAAAAAGATTATGATTTGCTGGAAACTCCATTGATGCCTAACGTTTTTTAGCAATAAAGTATGTCTTAATTAAAGTATGTACATTTTTTAGACATAATGCTATTGCATACTTGATGGGCTACAGTATAGTATAAACATTACTTTTATGTGCCCTAGGAAACCAAAAAGTTCATTTGATTCACTTTATTGTGGTATCCACTTTATTGCCATGGTCTGGAATGTCTCCACCATTTCTCTGAGGCATTGTATATACTTCATTGTTTGAATTTCATCTTGCAGTTTCTGGATGTATCTCTGAAATGTGCTGTAAACGATAGATTCCCACTCCATTCCCCCTTCTCTCTTTCCCTTTACCATGTATTTGTTGAAGAATCATTTATCCTATAGTTTCTCACTATCTGGATTTTGCCAATTATATCTCTATGGTGTCGTTTACCATGTTGCTCTCTGTCTTTTGTTTTCTGCAAACTGGCAGTTGTACCTAAATTTTGATCAGATTCAGCATTGGTTGGTTGATTGGTTTTGGCAAAACTACTTGATATGTGGTGTTAAATTATTTCAGCCATAAATTCATAATGTACAGTTATCTTATTTTTTTATACTAGTGACCATTAATAAGCCATGCCTACATCTGTTAAGTCATTAGGATTTTCAAAATGGTGATATTTCAATTCTATCTTTGCTTCTTTGTTAATTAGAATACTTATTTCATAAAAAATTCCCCCCTTTTATCTACTATTTGGCTATCTAGTGATATAGTTTCTACAGAAAAGCAGGATAAATAATTCTGTTCTTTTTTTTTTTTCACCTATTTTCAAAACAGTAGTTGGTCAACTAGCACTCGGCAACAATGACCAGTTAATTTCAGTCCATTGCAAGTATTACACTTAACAATACTGAAATTGTCCCTTCTTTGGCTAATGGGAACCTCTTCAAATTGGCCCGAGTCCTATTGGCATGGCCGTAAGAGTCTCTGATAACTACCTTGTTATCTGTTACAACAGCATTTTCCAGGTTTTTCTAGGCTCATTCTGAACATTTCCTGTCCCAGACCCAGACTGAATCATTTCTTGAAGGAGTCTTGGTTCTGTTCAGTGGAGAGATAGTAATACCAGGTCACAATCTGGGTGTTGGTGGCATTTTGTTGCTGTTGGCGTGGTTGTTGCTCACAGGCCTTTCCACTGTTCAGAGTCAGGAAATACATGTATTGTGTGCTTGATTTGTTTTCTTTAAAGGAAATCCACTGTGAGTTCATACTCATACTTTCTATTCTTGTTTACCACTGCAGATTTTTTTCAGAATTGCTTTTATCTTCTATCTGTATCTCCTTTCTCACCTACAGAGGATCTCACTTTTCAACAATACCAGCACTGATAGACTTGGACTATCACATAAGTACCTAATTGTTTTATCCAGGAACTCACCACAGTCCAATAATCACAGTGACAGCATTCCCATTAATTACTGGAAATATTGCTTTAAAACCTTTTAAGGTTCTTAAGTTCTGGAATTCCTTTCCTTGGTTGGTCTACTTTGAAGCCCACTATTTAGTCTTGAGGACCCACTTCAGATACCCTGTCCTTGAGGAAGTTTGGATGGCTTACTACTCTGTGCTCTCCTACAGCTCTTTGTGTGTTCCTCCATAAGGGCATACGAAATAAAAGGGTTCTTTTATTAACTGTGACATAGACTAAGAATTCCTTGAGAGTGGTAATTTATTTACCAGTATAACCATAGCATCCAGCAGGCATCTGGGGGAAAGCTTGATTTTGCACAAGTGACAGTTGATACACGTGTTACATACACATATGTTCAGTTTGTTTGCCAGGTTACTTGGGCACTTTTCATTTGTTCATTGATTGAGAGCCCACCCTTTGCTACTGTCTGCTGGGTGATTGGGGTGAACAATGGAGATAAGTCCTTACCTTTCCTGATTTTACATCCCAATTTTCTATCGCAGGCATCAGACAGACTAGAAGGCCCTACTGAATTCAAGAGAGAATCCTAACTTTGGGAACTTTGGATTGGAACACCCCAAAGAGGCTTGGGTGAGGGGCTGCCACCACGAAGGGGCACAGGGCAGGCTGTTGCCGCAGTGGGGCCAGGTAGGGAGCCAGGAGTGGCCAGGAATTGGGTCCTAGGTAGGGAAAAGGCTAGAGAGCTCTCCCTGGCTGATAGTGGCATTATGGACCGAGTCTAGCACAAAGGGCCATCTCTTCTTACTTGCCACCCTCTGGCCTGAGCCCCAGGAAGCCCCAGTGTCTGTCTTCCATGCTACCTACTAAACATTGGCAGCAGGGCAAGTGCATTTTCTGTCTTCAAACGCTCCTCTGGTCTTGACATTAATTTGGAACAAACAGCTAGAGAGATGAGAGAAAAGAGCATGTTTATGAAAATGAACTCTTTAGTGTCTGCCTTGTGGGCTTGTTTGTCCCTATCTTTATTTAGCATTTCAGAAACCTGAGCTAATGTTTACCAGAAGGCCAGTCAGGACTTTAAGTTCTTCCAGCCCAGAAAATCACAGTGTTTGCCCTTCTCCAACCACTTTTCACAGATACATTACTGACATCATTTCCCTTTTCTAGAGCCGGGTATAGGCAGATGCCCCTGCATTAGCCCCACCTTTCGACTTGTGATGTATCTCCTGATGGTTTCTAAGGCAGCCTGGTACATTCTCTTAGCCTGGCCATTTATTAGGAAATGGCCTCTCTGCCACATTTCTTAAAACCCGACCTGGATTTCACTATATCTCTAGCCTCTCTTTCCAACTTCCTATCTATTGCAAATTCCCAACTAGGTGTACCAACAGATGACTCAAATTTATTATCTTCAAAACTAAACTCATCTCACCCACAACCAGGCCTTCCTTATATTTTCCTGTCTCAGTGAGTGGCACTACCATCCACACTGCTCCTGACTTTAGGCCACGTTTGATTCTTTATTATCCTGTCTCACAGTACCTTACAATTGTAGGTATGTAAGTAATATGTTATGTGTTTGTTTACCATGTAGTTTCCACTGCCACACGGTAAGTTTCTTGAGAGTTGGGACCATGTGTGCCTTATTCATCACTTACCCAGCACCTGACACATCTGACACATGAATCCTTAATCAGTATTTGTTGGATTACTTAAAAAATCCATCCAGTCACCCAAGCTAGAAACCTCATCATCAATGTAGAATCCTCCCTCTTACCTTCCACATATTATCTATCACCACGATTTGTCTTTTCTACTGAAATATTTCTCAGACGTGTCCTATCAGTACTATGCCCGGTGTTCAGGGTCCAATCATCTTACATTTGGACTGTGATAGTAACTTGATGGATTTCTCTATTTCTTTTCTTTTCCTTCTTCCAGTCCATCCTATGTGTAGCCAAAGTGGTTTTTGAAAAATTACAAAACTATATCACTCCTCTACTTAAAAACTTTCTTTTCTTTTCTTTTTTGACTCCTGATTGTCTAAAAGACAAAATCTAAACTCCCGGGATTTCCAGGATCTTTCCTAATCTGTTTGTCCTGCCTCATATCCTGCCATTGTCCCCTGCATAACCTCATGTTTCAACAACCACCAAGAGCTCTCCTGTTCTCAAATCTTTTTATGTCCCTCCATATTTACTTTATTCCTCCTCTAGCACCTAACACAGCTGTCACAAAGAAGAGAGAGAAAGAAGGATGGGTGAAGGTAGCTCTGGGATCTGGCAGAGAAAAATCAGTGGGTTTCCAAAGAAATAGAGGAAAATTTTTAAATATGTCATCTCTCCTCTAATAATAAGTCTTCTTGAGAGTTCATAAACCAGGGCTCAAGGCTTTCTGGTATTGAAGCTATACAAACAAATACCCTATCCTACAGTTTAGCTCCTTTCTGAGTTGGGGAGTCTTTTTCTTAACGTTATTCTTTTTGTTTTTCAGTTTTCTTTTCTATTTTTTGGAGTGTGGTTCTTTCGGCCATGGCATCTACTGCAGGAAAGCAGAATGACCAAGCCACAGGAAAACTGATGGGATGGCACCACCCTCTGGCATCTAAAAGGGGCCACATTGAAGTCTAATCACCTAATTTAACAAACAGTAATTAAATGTTATTCAGTACATGTGTCTTTCAGCTCTTCTTTCTCACCTGTCAGTTATCATCAGAACTATATACACTGATTTGGAACAAAATACAAGGGAACGCGGTAGTTGTGCCTTCCATTTGCCTCTCTCTGTCATATGACATGCTTCATGTTAGGTCCGCCCTTACTTACTGTGTGAGTGGATCCATCCTAACTTGGGAGGACTTTCTTCTGAATTGTGTACAGATGTTCCTCTAAGGTGGTCCTCTTCTCTCCAAATGCTTGCCATCCTACAGTGGCCAAAATGTATGGACTTTGGTTTGAATTCATTGGGAGCCTGAAAATTTGTCTTTGGTGACTTGACGCTGGGCAACCGAACCTAATTATTGCAAAATAAATACCTCATAGAATGTCTGTCTGCATTTCTTCCTTGATGTTTTTTTTTTTTTTTTTTTTTTTTATGATAGTCACAGAGAGAGAGAGAGAGGCAGAGACACAGGCAGAGGGAGAAGCAGGCTCCATGCACCGGGAGCCCAACGTGGGATTCGATCCCAGGTCTCCAGGATCGCGCCCTGGGCCAAAGGCAGGCGCCAAACCGCTGCGCCACCCAGGGATCCCTGTTTAGAGATTCTTTAACACAGGGGTCAGGATTTAACTTTTAAGTAAGGATTTTAAACACAACCAGCACCATAAATTAGCACCATTATTTTATAAAAAGAGAGGACACTATAATGTCAAGTAATCTCGAAGAACACAATGTCAGTACTAAAAACTTGAATAAGTTTAGCTTTTTGAAAAGCTGATTACCTTGTTCATTTTCTTCTTCACCTACCAAATATCAGTGAAAATGTCATGAACTGACCAGCATGAAACAACTGCCTTTTAGGAGCCCCTGCTCTTGGGACCCCTGTGAAGCACTTATGAATTGTATTCAACTGTAAAAGAACCCTAAAAAGCAATAGCTTAATCAAATTAGCAGTTTTACTTGTGCTTCTATCTTATTGATAAGAGGTGTATCACGTTCTCATCCCTAACTGCAAGAGAGGCTCTTTGGCTGGGAACACGGCCACCATGAATGAAACCAGAAGAGATAACTATTTTAGATAGATAATTATTACATCTTGGAACCTCTGCTTTTAGAAAAGTTAATGGATGGTGGTTTTTCCATTGTCAGTTTGATTTCACCGGTTGGCATCATGTAAAGATTTAAGGGGTGCCTGGGTGGCTCAGTCATTTAAGCATCGGATTCTTGATCTTAGGGTCATGAGTTCAAGCCCCTCATTGGGCTCCACAGTGGGCATGGAGCCTACTTTAAAAAAGAAAAGATTTAAGAGAAAATAATTCTGGGAAAATGGCAATGGCATTTTTTAATCTCCCCAAATTCCTTCATAAATACAGAGCATTTGGGGGATGCCTGGGTGGCTCAGTGGTCAAGCATCTGCCTTCAGCTCAGGGTGTGATTCCTGGGATTGAGTCCCACGTTGGGCTCCCTTTGGGGAGCCTGCTTCTACCCTTGCTTGTATCTCTCTGCCTCTCTCGGTGTCTCTCATGAATAAATAAATAAAATCTTAAAACACACACACACACACACACACACCAAAACCAGAGCATCTGGGATAGCAAAGCCAAAAACCTATGGAAAATATCTCTAACAAAACTGGGTGACAAGATATCACCACAAACCCCAAAATTCAAGCATGTGGAACCACTAGTCATTCAAAGACTTGCATGGTATCAGCATTTTTTTGTGAAAAGAAGCAGAGGGAAGCAGCAGCTGGGTGTCTGAGAAATCTAAAAATAATAGAACCTCAAAATAGCCAAGAGGTACTCCCTGGAAAGTACAGTGGACCAATAGGAGAACAACAGCCAGATTTGGGGGCAGTTTGGCACCACCCACTTTGCAGTTGATGAGTGCAAGGGGTCCAAAGTAAGGTCTGAAGAAGTTGGAGCAGCCCAGGTCCTGTGAATTCTCAAAACCAGCCAAAAGTATCTTTCCAGGACACTAGAGTAGAAACTACAGGGAATAGAATACAGATAGAGTAGGGCAGGGATATTTGGGGCAAAGAAAAGGCAAGTCAGATGAAGGTGGGGGAAGGGCACAGAGCCAGGAGATCTCAGAAAGTTTGAAGCCATATTTTTGGACACTTCATGAAAACAGAAAAAGAAGCTGTAGAGTCTTGAATTTAGTAAAGCTGTCCTAACTTGCCCCTCCTTCCTAAATATGCAGGAAAACTAATTTCATATAAAAATGAGTAACAGAAAGGACTGCAATCAAATCTCATAATGAAGCTATTATAAGAAAAATGAAAACACGGAGAATAGTATCCCTAATGATATGAAAACATTTCAGAAAGACATGCCCACAAAATCAGATGAAAATTATAATATTTCAAAATAAGCTAAAGTAAATTAAGGAAATAATAGAAGTCCCTGCTCCAAAGCAATGGTGTAGTTCTAACGGTATAGGTGCTCCCCTCAGCAGCTCCACATGTGTGTGCTCGTGGACTCTAATGTAGAGGAAGTAGTGCCTTCATGATACTTGGATAATAACTCCCTTCTCCCTTTTGCTACTACAACCTTATTCTTTCTCCCCTATGTTCTTTCAGCCCTTTAAATACGTTTGTTATCAATTCCCTGCATCAGTCCCTTTGACTAAGATAACAAAGTCTGTTGTCCTGAATAGACACTTTCTGATGTAGTTACTTCCATTCATTCTTCTGTTCATTTAACAAATATTTATTGGGGCAGCCCCGGTGGCGCAGCGGCTTGGCGCCGCCTGCAGCCTGGGGTATGATCCTGGAGACCCAGGATCGAGTCCCACATCGGGCTCCCTGCGTGGAGCCTGCTTCTCCCTCTGTCTGTGTCTCTGCCCCTCTCTCTCTGTGTCTATGAATAAAAAAATAAAATCTTTAAAAAAAAAAAACAAATATTTATTGACTACCTCCTAATGTTACAGCATTTGGAAAACAATGATAAACAAGTTAGACAAAGTCTCTGCCCATGCAAAGCTTATGTGCTGGTGAGAACTCAGACAATAAACAAGTAGTTGCACACCATGACTTCAGGTGTGATAAGTGCTCTAAAAATAAATGTGGCGTAAAGAATAAATAATTGTCTCTCTTGTGTAAATGAAGTCAGGAGGTAAGGGCAGGTAGCCTAGGATTGTTATGGTTGCTCCAAGTAATCAAGTTTACTTTGGGCTTAGTACTTGATTTTGCCTGGAGTGTGACAATCCAAATTCCATGCAGCTGGATGCAGGAAGAGATTAAGAAGGGGCAAAGAACTGGCTAGCTCTCTTTTAAGAGGAGTTTTCTGGGAAGCTACCACGCACTGGGTAGTTGGATTACGTTTTATTGGCCTGAACTCCTCAGTCACCTGGCTCCACCTAGTGGCAAAGGACACCAGGAAATGTAGCCACATGCCCAGTTAAAACTTGGGGGATTTTATTTCTAAGAAGTAGGGGAGAATAGATATCCTGGGAAAGACAACTAGCACAGTATGAACAAGATGCTAAAGGGACTAAACAAAGTAATCTGATTGCAAGCAACCTGGGGTGTGTTTAAGGACACTCATTTAAAGTGATTCTTTATCATCTTTCTCCATCACCAGATAGGTTTCTTCTTGGCAGAGACTTGACCTACCTTTGTATTCCCAGTTTGTTCTGCAGTGCTTCAGACATGATTGGTATTAACGTGTTTTTGGAAATGAATATAATCTCAAAACGACTCAGGAAACCATTATTAGCAAACACTATTAGCAAACAGTACGTGTGACCTCGATTTCTCTCACTAGACTGAGTTTCTCCAGAGTCCGTAAAATCACTAAACCTTTCTAGAGTCCTGAATGTTGACTGTGGTATGTAATTGGGTATTAAAAGGTGTTAGCAGTATGCCTCCAGGGATCTAACTGAGGGCTAATGCAATCAGAGAAGACTTAATTAAGTGGGACTTGAGTTGGTAAAACCCTTTTTCCTTACTGGCAGGAAATTAATGATAATCAATATTTGTATAGCATTTTATCATATCTTCACAACATCACTGGGTGTCACCTTTATTTTTATCCTTATTTTATCGGTGAAGAAATGGAAGCCCCGAGAGGGTCAAGTCATTCCATTTAGCAAGTGACAGAGCTGGAACTAGAAACCAGATCTTAGAAAATCAAATTCACCATTAGAGAGATTTTTTTTTTTTTCCATTTCGGTAATATCGGTGAGTACATCTGTGGAGAGGGACGCAACATTCTTTGATTTCACTTTCAGGCAGTCCGTATAGAAAATCGGGAGAAATAAGGGCCAATCACTTTGCCAGGTCAAACTGGGACCATCAAGCTGCACTGTTACTCTTACCGGCTTCATAAAAGACTACGATTCCCAGCATGCCACAAGGTACCTCCGGGAAAACTTCCACTCCCGGCATGCTGTACTTTGGAACTCTGAGTCCCAGAATGCAACGCTCCCCTTGCGCCCAGAGCGGCATCGAGACCACAGTTCCCAGCATGCAGCGCCGCCCCCAGTTTCTGGCGCCCCGCTGGACCCTGCTTCGGAGAGACCTTTTGGACTCCAGAGGGCGGGTCCTGAAGCCCCAGCCCCGTTTGGGAGACGTGTCCGCGGGGCAGGTTGGGCGCGTTGGGCCTCTCCAGACGAGGTCTCGAAGGGACGGGTCGGGGCCCGGCCCGGGCTCCCCTCAGGCAGCGTCTGAGGCAGCCCCAACAGGGTCCTCCGGGGGCCTTGCTCCCTTTGAACTGCGGTGGCGGGCGGGCGCACGGCCTCCCGCCGCCCCGAGAGCCGGGGTCGCCATCACCATGGCCACGGCTGCGAGTCGGCCCTGCGCCGGCGGGTCGCGGGACATCCTGTGGCGCGTGAGTGCTGCGCGCCGTGTAGCGCGCGCTCGGCCCGCTGCTGGGGTCGCGCTGGGCGGGCGCTGAGTGCGCGTGCGCGTGCGCGCTGGGCGGGGGAGGGGCCGGCTCCCGGGCGGCGTGGGGAGCGCGTGGGGAGGGGGCGCCCGCCGGGATGCTGGCGGCCACGTGCGGGGGCGTCCCGGGTGGACTCTGGGGGCGGGAGGGCGGCCCGGGGCCTCGGCAGTGGAGGCCGCTCGGAGGGACGGGGATGCCGTTTCGTGCAGGGGGCGTGTGCCCGGTAAGAAGCGGGAGAGGATGTCCAGAATCGGGAAGAAGGCGGTGTGGCCCAGCGGAGGCCGTGGCCGCGCTGACATCTCGGGGGGCTTTCTGCCTTGCCTGTTTACCAGTCCCTGAGGTCCTGTAGATGGACTTCGGGAAACAGGACGGGCGTTCTTTTCTTTTTTCTTTTTTTTTTTCCCCCCTTTCCCACCTCCCTGAACGGTCTTGGGGCCGCCGTGGTCGGCTGCCTCCTGATGGCCGTGCGGGCCTTGTCCCCGTCCCCACTGGTCCACCTTCAT